TGAATGGGAAAATAATGACACCATGGTACCTACATAAGTTATCCAGTACCTTTTCGCATATGTAACAGGATCCTAAAATCTTGTGCTTAAAACTATTTTTAATCCAATTAATTTGCACACTAGTAAAGATTACCATTTAGTAGAAAATTTAAAAATTCTCATAAAAGATCATCCTCTCAATTATACTCAAGGGCAGAAATTATAAATTTTATTCATCTTGGTATTCTTGGCACACAGTTTACTATATGGAATATAAAAGACATTCAAATAAATATAGAATGTATGAAATAAATTTGCTTTTACCCTGAAGGGAAGATTCCCCTATACTAAACTGTTTGAAGGAAAGTACATTTAAACAGCACATATTCAAAGATTAATGCCTTGTTAGTCTGATTTCAACCCAAATACCCCAAGAGCACAAAATGCCCGAATAATGTTCTCTTATATGGAGTCTTTCCCAAATATATGTAATATTGTTTTCTGGGCAGACACAAAATATAAAGCACCAGAATTGAGTCTGCATCCCTGGGTTGGAATCTCAGCTCTACCTATTTGCTAGTTGAGACATTCATAAGTAAATAAACCTCCCTTAGCGACCCATTTTCCACACCTGCCCAACTAGAATAACACCTCCAACCTCATAGGATTGCTGTCAGGATTAAATGAGATAATTCTGAGCCTGGCTCACAGCTGGCAATTCAACATATACCCACCTCTTTCCTCCCCTTCTGTTCTTTCGAAATGTCCTTAACAGAAAGTAAATGTGATTATCTTCATTCTTTAAAACATTTCATGTTTTTTATTTTTTTTAAATAACCTTCCTTCAGTAGGATGTGATTGTGGAGGTACTTCTAAAATTCTTGTAATGTTCTTTCCCTGGAGTTGGTTGTAGGTCAAAGATATTTGCTTATTTTATTCTTTAAACTATGTATGTAATGTTTTTTTTGTATACATACATTTTTCACAATTAAAAAGGCAAAACAAAACCTTCTCTCAACCTCAAATCATTTTTTAATCCCACCACAATATATCACTTTTTTTTTCTCCCACAACTAGACTTCTTGAAAGAGAGGTCTATGTTTTCTGTCTCCACTTTCTTAATTCCCAATCTCTCCTCTACCTATACCAGGCTGGATGTCCTGGTCCCACACTCTCCTCTCCCCCAGTCACTCCTCTGAGCCAGCACTGATAAGGTCAACAATGACCATCCTGTCCTCATAAAGTAGGCATCGTTGCACAATTCAGCATGTTCTTTCTTTTCATCTTTTTTTTTTTTAAATTTTAAAAAAGTTAGACATTCATACAATCCATGAAGTGATCTCCCCGATTACTCCAGCACCCACCTGGCACTACACACAACTGTCACAATAATATTGACTATGTATCCTTTGCTACACTCTAAATCCCCACGACTCTTTTTAGGTACTAATTTGTACTTTGGAACAAACTGGTACAGCCACTCTGGAAAACAGTCTGGAGGTTCCTCAAAAAAATAAAATTAGAACTACCTTTTGACCCAGCAATTGAATTGCTGGATATTTATCCAAAGAAAACCAAAACACTAATTTGCAAAGATCTATGCACTCCTGTGTTCACTGCAATGCTATTCACAATGGCCAAGCCGTGGAAGCAACCTAAGTGCCCCTCAACAGACGACTGGATAAAGAAGTTATGGTTCATATATACAATGGAATATTACTCAGCTATTAAAAAAATGGAATCCTACCATTTTCAACGAACGACATGGATGGACCTAGAAGGTAGCAGGTTGAGTGAAATACATCAGAGAAAGATAAATACCGTATGATTTCACTTATACGCGTAATCTAAGGGACAAAAGAAATGAATAAACTAAACGAAAACACAGATACAGAGAAATGGTGATAGCCAGAGGGGAGGGGGTTGAGGGCCGGGTGAAAAAGATGAAGAAGTGCAAAGACTTATTTCTAAATGTATATCTAAGCCTCGGGAGCCCGGGACGAACTCTCTTTGAGCTATTATCGCCTCAAACCGAGAAGTGTCTCCAGCCTACCTGACTTTCACAGATGCTGAAATATTCTGGATCCTTTCTTTTCGTATTTTAGGAATCAGGATATTTCCCCCCAAATCGTGTCACGAGATGCGCGCATTTTCACTTCTCCCAAACTCCCTTCCACCACGCACGGTAATGATCACAGCACGAAACTCCCCAAGGAATAACGAGCGCTAATAACCCAGCTGTTCGGGAAGGAAACTGACTTCCAGAACATTTCTCTCCTAACGATGCCCTGATGATGGAAACGACCACGTCCAGCCAAACGCAGCCTCGCGGCCGTCCACTGGCGGATCCTGGGTCCCCAGCGGGCCCCCTCCACCACCGTCGGCATCCGCACACCAACACCTTGGGGGCAGCAAACAGCATCCCCGACAGGGCACGGGAAAACCGCGCTACCTGGCGCGCTGGAGATACTCCTCCAGGTGCCCCTTCGCTCCGCTGCTCGGCCTCCTTCCGAAGTCGGCTGCCCCCCAACACCCCCGACCCCCCCCCGTAGGCTCTCCCTCTA